AGGGCAGCAGCCTCTTCCTGCCACCATCAGTTTCCCCATTATTTTCTTTCTTCTCTTGGTCACTGCTGTTCATGCCAGCACATGGTTTCTGACCATTCCTCCACACTCCTAGTCATAGGGGCAGCACATGCTGGGAATTAGAGCAATGAAATTGTTGCCCCAATTTCAATGTGGTCCCTCTCCAGCCCGCTGCACGACATAGGGGAGTCCCTTCACCTACAGGAGGCCTTGTGTACTCATCTTTGTAGTAGGAACAACACTGACCCCTTTTATGAATGGAGATGTGCTGAGGAAAGAGCTGGACATCCCATGTATTCAAAGCATGAGGACTCTTTCCCTGCTCTCCATTGCCCAGGTCACCGTGGAGGTGATAATACAGCCCTGAACACACACTGGAAGTGCCTCCAGGAACTGCAAACCATCACCCTTTGTGTTGAGTCCTGACACAAAAAACATTCCCTTCCCTAGTTCTGTAACTTTCCTTTCTCTTCCCTGTTTTGCTTAAGCTTTCTGTTCTGCATTAACCCCTGAGGGCAGGTCCAGGGCTGGCACCTTGCAGGCTTTGATGCAGAAACCCAGTGCCTGCTGGCAAACATGGCACAAACACTGACTTCCACTTCTGCTGTGTGCCACCTACATGTGTTTGCTTACAATTAGCTAAAGCCATAGTTTTCCCTCACTGCAAATCTGGAAGGATCAACAGTACCTGTTCTGACATGTTTGTGAAACCTTTCCTTAAAGACCTCCAGTGATGGGGATTGTGCCATTCCCTAGCAATCTGTTCTGGCACACATCCTAACATCATCCAAAAGCCTAACTTCAGGGGTTTTTTAAAATTTCAAATCCTTTATATCCTGCCCTGTTCACTATGGCCATAGCCTTCTTCAAAATGACCCCTTGGGCACTTGATGATGTGCAATGATGAACTGCAACGTTTTCCTTCTTGTCCTTGCCTCAGCCTTCTCTTCCACACATTACATCAATTCATTTCTTTCAGCCTTTCTTCTTGTTTCCTGAGCCTCTCAGCATCCTCACTGACCTCCTTTGATTTTTTCCACTGTCCATCTGCATTTTTTGAAGCACAGCATCCCTAGCTAGGCATCCTATGCCAGCTTGGAGGCTACAGCTCACATGCTCCAGGATGGTGTTTGCCTTTTCCATTGCTGGTGTTCAGTTTGCTCTCCATTACACTGTAGACTCTTCTTATTTTTATTTTTTTTTTGGGAGGAGAGTGTTTTTTGGGTTGCTGAGTTGTTGTTTTTTTTTGAAAACTGCATCCACCCAGTTCCCTCACATGAATCTGTGTTGCTCACTGCTCATAAAAGTAATGCTGGAAGTTGTACCTGTTGAATATTGTCCTGTAGATTGCAGGCCATTTCTCCATCTAGTGCTGAATCCTGTTGTCTTTGCTGTCCTCAACAGCCTGGAGTAATTAGCAGATTGAATGAGGTGGTCATGGGTGTTAATCATCCAGGCTGTTAACTGAAGTAATTAAAAAGATCTGGCATTCAGAACAGACCCCTGCAAAAATCCTCTGAATGTGTCCTTCCATTCTGACAAACACTGATAATTAACACTCGAGGTACAATGATCTCACCAGTTTTACACTCACCATGTCCTTACATCTTCTTATGAAGGGATCAGGACAGCCAATGTTAAAAACCTTCCTGAAGTCAACATATGTGACATCTGTTACTTACCACTTTATTCCTAAAACATTGTGCCACACCAGGACATGAGAGTGGTTTGTCTGCGTTTTTTCCTGATGTGCCCTTCTCTCTGCAACCAGGACATCATCCTGGTTTATTCTGTACCATTTACATCATGCCCATATCTTATACTTCCCAACTATGTTATATACATATATATTCATATAACTCTACATGAGCACAGCCATTATTTCAGTGGTCACTGGCCATCCCCACCAAGATGTCTGTTGAGTTCAGTTAATCCATGGCTGGTGTATCTGGAGCAGTCCATACTCACTGTTCAGGGTAGCCATGCCATACAATGGCATTGTCATTCAACAACCAATATTACATATGAAACTCAACATTACAGACTGTTCTCACCCAAAAATCAAATCTCCCTGAGGTATGTATCATGTTTCCCTGTCTTCCTGCATTACTCACCTGGTGCACCCATGTCCTTGAGCAAAAACAATCCCAGGGATGGGTTTGCCTTTCCTTCAGAAATGTGTCCTCTGGAGCTGGTCAGTCAGGGAACACAGGGCTGCTCCCATTCTCAGGAAGGTGAGCCCCATCCTTCCCTGCTCCTGGCTCCCGACCCACCAGTTAAGGCAACTAAACCCAGAGCCCTTTTGGCAATGTCAGCTGTGCAACCATGCATTTATCTCCAGATGTCCCCATTGGAATTGCAGTCAGGTTTCTGCAGCCAGGAACACACCAAAGGCCCTGAACCCCTCACCTGCTCACCCAGAGCCTTTTAATCACCTTTGATCCAATCTGAACCAATTTGTCACCACTCAGGACACAAGGATGAGGGCCATTATGAAATGGGTCCCTGTGATGGGTGATTGTGGCTGTGGTGCAGCACAATCTCTGGTACAGGCTCCTGGGAAAGGTCCTGACTCTCAATATCACAGCTTGGCTGCAGGGCCCATCCCTGCTGCCTCTGTTCTTTACAGGTGGAGTTGTCACAGCGAAGATAAGCTCGGACTGCTCTGGGGTGAGTAGCAGATCCAGAGAGTCATAAAGAGGGAAGATGTTTTAGCTAATATCGAGGAACGTGTAGCTCCAGTTCCACTCAGGGATACTGAAGGTTCTTGGCCTCCCTCTCATGGGAGAAGTCAGTATTGCCTCCTGCCGACACAGTCCTGCAGCGGGTGCCTGGAGGAAGTGCTCAGGATACTCGAGAAAGCTTTAAAGGGAACAGCCCCGACCTTTTCTTTGCAATAAGCACACCCAGCACTGAAAGACGTTTTTATTTCTAAGGCATGTTACAGCCTGATTACTTTTGAATTCCATAATTCCATTCAGCTCAACTGGCCAGAGCATGATGTGAGCATGAAGGTTGTGGGTGTGATCCCTGTATGGGCCATCTGCTTGGTGATCCTTATGGGTTCCTTCCAGCTCAGAATATTCTGTGATTCTGTGAATTAGAGCAGTAAAGAGCACCACACTTGCTAAACCATTCCCTCCTTCCAACCATATCCTCAGGAGAGTCAGAGGGGCCTTTTGCCTTCCCTTGTTCTTGTGTCACTGAACTTTGGTCACTCACAGGACTGCCAAACCTTCCATGCCATGCCTTCCACGTGCCCATTAGAAGTTGCTTTCTGCCATGCCAGCCTTCCCTTCCCCTCAGCAGAGTCCTGTCCCACACCATGCAGGGCCCTGAATGTGTCTGCCCAGCTGTTTCTCTGCTTCCTTCCCAGTCTCTATCACTTTCTCCCATCTGCTCTCTCTCCCCTCCTGACTGTAGAGCCCATGAGATGTCAAGGAGCAGCCCAGCCATGACAGAAACTAGGTGGGCTGTGCAAATTTGCACAATAGCTTGTGATCAGACAAATTAAAGATCCAAAGACTTCATCACAGATTAATTTTCATGTTGAAGATCAGCTAGTATGGTTGGAAAAAAAGGGCAGTGACTCATAATTTTGTTTCCCACACAAAGAACTGGTGTGCCTGAAAAGCTTGGCTGCTTTTATTTTCCTACCATATTATGCTGATAATTATTATGCTAATGAAAGACATGCTTTTACATTCTTCTTACACTTTTATCAACACTTACTTTTTAATCCGTGACATTTTCATTTTCTAGCCCAAAATTACTTCCCCTCTGTTAGAAAATACATTCAAGAGCCTATCTTTGACCTGGAAACGAGGCATGAAGGTGATTTATTACTCGAGCTCTGCTTCTTTTGAGGTGAGGGGTACGTACTCCCACAAAGACAACTCTTACTTCTCTGTGGCTTTATTTGCAGTAATTTCATCTCTTGTAACCTGCTCAAGGAAAGACTCAGTTAAAAATAAGATGAGAATGAATCCTCTCCACAAATGTGGGCACATTTACATGTCCTTCACATAACAATTTAGCCAGACCCGATTCTTTTGGCTGCTGAGGGAATTGTATGAAATTGGTGGGAGACAGGATCTCACAGAGGCTTGGTTTTGGTAAATATCACATTTCTAAAGGACCCACTTTCAATTCATCACTTATTATCACTTTTCATCATAAATAATCAACGAACAATGGCACAATGCTATTCTTCTGAACAATATCCTTTTTGGTTCTCCAGACTACACAAAACGACTGAATCTCATAAACACAAAACTATTCCTAAACCATTACAAAAATCACAGAATGGTTTGGGTTGGAAGCTGTTTTAAAACCCATCTTATTTAGCCCCCTGCCATGGCAGGGACACCTTCCACTGTGCCAGGCTGCTCCAAGCCCTGTCCAACCTGGCCTTGGGCACTGCCAGGGATCCAGGGGCAGCCACAGCTGCACTGGGCACCTGTGCCAGGGTTTAACTCCCTCGAAATATCGCAGTGCTGCCCGGGATCGGGATCAGGATGGGGATTGTGATGGGGATCGGGGTCGGGATCGGGATTGGGGATGGGAATCAGGGCCGGGATCGGGATCGAGATCGGCAGCAGGATCAGGATCGGGATCGGGAACGGGATGGGGATGGGGATCGGGGCCGGGATCGGGTTCGGGACTGGGGCCGGGATGGGGATGGGAATCGGGGATGAGAATCGGGGCCGGGATCGGGATCGAGATAGCGGGATTGGGATCGGTAACGGGATGGGGATGGGGATCGGGACCGGGATGGGGGATAAGGATGGGGATGGGGATCGGGGCCGGGGCCGGGATCGGGGATGGGGATCGGGCGGGAATCGGGGATCGGAATGGGGAATCGGGATCGAGGCGGGGATTGGGATCGCGGATCGGGATCGGGGCCGTGGCCCGCCCGCGTCCCGCCCTCTGTCCGTCCCTCTGTCCGTCCCTCTGTCCGTCCCCTCTGTCCCGCCCCGGCCATGGCGGCGCGGCTGTGGCGGCTCTGCAACCTCCTCATGGCCGCCTTCTTCGGGCTGGCGGCCGCCGTGCAGGTGAGGCCGGGGCTCCCCTCCCGTCCCCTCCGCTCCCCTCCCGCGGAGCGCGGCCCCGCCCGGCCCGGCGGCTGCGGGGTCTCAGTGCGCGCCTCCCGCTGCAGGTGAACGACCCCGACGCGGGGCTGTGGACGGTGAGTCCGGGCCGCCCTTCCCTCCCCTTCCCCTTCGGCACCTCCTGCCCCGAGGTCCCGGCGGCCCCGGCCCCGCTCCGCTAACGCCCGTCCGATCCGGGGCTGCCGGAGGAAACTGAGGAGCGGGCAGAGCCGGGAAAGCGATGTCTCTACTGCAGCGACGGCTGGAATCCCAGCGTGCTTCCAGGATCTGCCTTGTTTCAGCCCAGATCTGCACCTGCCCCTGCAGAGCATCGCTTGCTGTGCAGAGCACCCCGAGCTGCTCCCGCTGCTCCTGCCCCGCTGTGCCCGTGGCCCTGGGCTCGCCTTGGGTCTCCAGCGGGAGCCTCCGAGGGAACGGGGAGCGAGCCCCGCTCCGGTGCCCGTCCTGCCTCGGGCACTCAGCATCCCCTGGGCTGGGCACTGCGGGTGGCAGGGACGGTCTGTGTGTGCAACAGGAGCTGCTGGCCGGGCAGGGGCTGCCCTGCGTGCCCTGCGCTGTGTGAGCCCCTCTGACAGCGGCACCAAAGGGGACAAAACGCCCCAGCGCGGGTGGAGGGTCCGGGGAGGGTCAGGATTGAGGGAAGGGGCTCTGCAGTGCTTGGTCAGACAGCCAGTGTTCTGTAAGCCAGGAGCAGAGGAACAAGGGCTGGCTGTGGCTGATGGCCCGGGATTTTGGGTGGTGATGGTGAAGATGAGCACTAGCAGTGCCAGGGCATGCTGGAGGCGAGGGACTGGGATCTGCTCCGTGCCTCTGGCAAACTGCAAAGGGGAAAAGTGCTGCTGTGGCTGGGCACTTCTGCTTCCTGAGCTTGCTGAGTTTTAATACCCAGTAGATTTATATCATTAACAGGTTGTCTACTTAGTGCCAGCTGCCCTGACACTGCTTGTCAGCATCAACCCTTCAATAACAGGTATGATACTGGTGTGCAAAACACCCTCTGCTCAAATTTTGCCCTCAAAAGGTTGTGGTTTTGCTTTTTTTTTTCTTTTTTTAAATTGAGGCAGAGATTAAAATCAGCCTGTGTAGAAACACATCCTACTACCTTCTGAGGGCAAAAAACTGCAGGACTTAATTCTACACAAGCTGGTCATTGCTTTAGTGCTGGTGGTGAGGAGAGGAGCCCAGCAGAAAGCCCAGCTGCTGGGGTGGGCCTGCCTTTGCACCCCAGTTCCAGCTTAAAGCCTTCTGGAGCAGAAGCCTGGGAGCATGCTCTGAACCTGGCTCAATTGCTGACCTTAGCAATTGACTTTGTTTCGTTGTAAATCTGTGTTTTTGTTTATCTACCTCGTGCAAAAGCAGCTGAGCTTTGCACAGTGCCATGAAAGTGCTAAAGGTCTTGTTCAGTGCCAGGTATTGCAGCTGCCCCACAGAGCCATGGGCAGGAACATTTTAAGGCTGTGTTTCCAAGGGTGTGTGTTGGGGGAGCTAACAGCAGTTCAGAGGATCATTCAGATTAGATTTGTTTAAAATCTTCAGAACATAGTTAAGATTTTTGCATTTTAATTCAGTGGAAATAATTTAAAATAAGGCAATTTTATGTACACAAAGTGACTGTATCTGTTCTGGATGAATACCTATGCTGAATAAACTAAAATCACACTTAAAAAAGAAAACCTTAAGGAGTGCATGGTATTGTCACAAATTACACCATTGCAGTCTCTTGGCATTCTGGCCACCTTAAGCATATAAAGTGGCAGCATTCCTATGTTCAGAACTCATGAGGCTTGTGGTTTTGAATATTTTTTGAATATTTCATTGGCTGGTCTATTGAATCTGCATGTTAATGTTAAACTCATAGTTAGGGTTTTCCTTATGCCCAGATCTGTGGAAAATAAAGATTATAATAGCAAAACTTCTGTGAAACTTCAGGTTTATGTAAATTCACCAAGGGGTATTTGCCATTCAGGTCTGTGGCAGACCCAGATGGGTTTACTTCATTCTTCATGATAGTGGCTGAGAGTCTTTTTGTTTTTTTCCCCAGACAATGGTGTTTGGAGGAGCCTCTGTGACCTTCATTCTGCTGGCTGTGTTGTTGGGACCATTGCCTTGGCTTGCTCTTTGTTTGCTTATGCTCAAGGAAACATTTTCCATGAAGAGGAAGGCAGGTAAGCAGTGGGTTTTATGTGCCCCTGCCCAAATCCAGCTCACCAGGCCATCTCCTCCTGGTGTCACCTTCCAAAACTTTATTTCCTGGGCAGTTGCAGTGAGAGCTGTTGGTCCAGAGGAATCAGACCAAAGATGCTCCAAACCAGTGACTGCTTGGGCACAGGGGAGGGAACAGTCATTGCTCCCCTGATTGTGGCAGGTAGTTGGATTTATTTGTCTGGCTTTCAGACACCAGGGCACAAGCACAGTGAAGCAGTTTTGTTCTCTTTTCCTGGAGCTGTGGGAGTGGTAATCAATGTTTTAAAAACTCTTGAGGCGATACCAAATTCACATTAATCTGGCATGGGCTGCTGAGTCCTCCAAGGTATTGAGGATGAGGGAGAATTTCTCACCTGGACATTCAGGAGTTGTTTAAAAAGTAGGTGCTTGTAAAGTACTGAGGTGAAGCCCTGGCAGCTACTTCTGTACCTAATCACAGTCTGGAAAACTGGGATGTTGCTTTGCTCTGTTTCAATGAGAGAAATGTGCCTGCTTTGCCTGTGTTAATTAGAGAAATGTGCTGTGGAATATAAATCCAGCAGTAGAACAAAACGTGGAGGCAGGAATTTCTGCAGCTGTTTAGCTGTCATGTCGATTTGTAGATTTGTGGTGTGAAGCAAAGTTACTTTTTGTAAATACCTTTATAATTATAATCCTAGTAAAATATATTGAACTTCTCCAAAGGAGCAGCCACTACTGTTTTGGAGGAAAAATTTGTATTGTAGGAACATAAACATCTGTTTGTATTATTTTCTGATCTGTTTTTTGTTTGGCTTTTTAGAGAATTGTTTGGTCTGGTGATTATTACAATATGGATGAGTCTTTGTCGCAGTTCAGCAAAGTAAGTTTTTTTTTCTCTTTTTTTATAATGCATTCCAATGTTCCCATTTAGTGACTAGCTCCTTGAAAACACACAGTTGATTTTGGCAGCTTGTTTTCCTGTTTCATGTCACCCTCTGACCCTTCCAGATGCCCAGGCAGTAGCAGCCTGGAGGATCTTGCACAGATAAAAGCTGGGGCAGGGGGGAATGTAAGGCTACATTAAGCACTTTTTATGGCCCCCTGCCATAATAAGGGCATTTTCCCTTTGCTTAAGGTGCTTTATTTAATTCCAACTAATTTCTGTAGCCTGAGTTGTCTGAAAATTCTCTGTGCCTCTGCAGTAAAAGACTGGTGATAGATCCATAGGGGCCCCATTAAATTGGCCAAAGGCTTTCTGCTTTTTCCAGCTGCAGGCAGATGTGAATGTTCTGTGGTGGCTGTAGCAGTGGCCAAGGACATCCTGGGCTGTCCCATCATGGTGTGGTCAGCAGGATGAGGGCAGTGCCTGTCCCCTGTGCTGGCATTGCTGAGGCACCTCCAGTCCTGGGGTCAGGTTTGGGACACCTCACTTCAAAAAGGAATCTGAGGGACTGGAAGGGAAGGGAACAGAGTTGGGGAAGGGTCTGGAACACCAGGAGTCACCAAGGGAGCTGGGGTGGCTCAGTCTGGAGAAAAGGAGGCTCAGGGAGGAGCTTTTCAGTCTAAAACTCCCTGACAGGAGGATGCAGCCAGGTAGGGGTCAGGCTCTGCTCCCAGGGAACAGGGACAGGACCAGAGGAAACAGCCTCAAGCTGTGCCAGGGGAGGTTGAGATTGGATCCTAGGGAAAATTCCTTCACTGAAAGAGAGGTCAGGCATTGGCACAGGCTGCCCAGGGAGGTGGTGCAGTCACCATTCCTTGGAAGTGTTCAAAAAAACCAGTGGATGTGGCACTGCACCATAGGGTTTAGTGGGTGTGGTGGTATGCAGTCAGAGTTGGACCTGATGATCATGGAGGTCTTTTCCAGCGTTAAAGATTCAGTGATTTGAAGCAGCTCTGTTGGATTTGTTCTTACAGGAGTCCCCTGGGAGGAGCTCGTTTGGTTGCTGCAGTTGTTGTTGCCCTTTTCCCCTTTGTTTCGTGGCTGTACATTTATGTGAACAAAGACATGCGAGAGTCTTGGCCAACACACTGCAAAACCGTGATTTAATTGGGTGAGAGAAAGTGTGCAGTGACTATGCTGACCTTATTTGCCTTTGCTTTTGGTGCTTAACAAAAGGTGGGTCAGTTTGATAGCACCCAAGAATACCTGGCTGCTTCCAGCAGTGCCAGCTGAGATTTGGTGAAATGTTGAGGAACCCTGTCAAATCTGAGTGGGGAATTTTCCTACAGAAACTGTTCACCTTGCTGCTTCTTACATTTTCCAAGCACCATTGATCTAATGTTTGTTCTGATGGTATATTCAGGATATCACTGTATCCCTGGATCACTCTCCAGTCACCTCATAGTTTGAGAACTATTCTGTAATATAAGGGACAAATAAAGCAAATACTGTTTTAATAAATTACTATTTACAGCCATAGAACTTTCAGTAATGTGCCTGGATAATCCATTTCAGACTTTTTGGAAAACTGAGCAGTCTATATTTCTGTCCTGTGCTAAAATCATATGTAGAATATATCTGAAAAAATTATTTTTGCTACTATCTTTAACTGAAAGTCACTGGTTTTACTGAATAATAAACACTATTTTTTATAAGAAAACTCAATGAAAGCCTCCATATCTTTTATTTTCTGGGAGATGCACATTTGAGCCTGTCACCAGCAGATGAGGGCACTGTCCCAACTCTGCTGCTCACCTATTTTTTCTTGGGAAGCAGGACCCACACAGTAGCCCTGCAGCAGCAAGCATGTCCCACTGTTCATCCTGGAGAAGGAAGCACAGGGGGATAAACTGGACTCAGCCAGGACAGCTCCAGGTGTAACACACAACACCTTTATTGAGATGGGTGTCAGAGCTCACTGTCAGCACTGCTGCAGCTGATCCCAGCTGTGCACACACAGCACAGCCTGAGCATCTGCAGCACAGATGGTCTCCTTAGGCTCAGCTTTCTCTCAGGATTACTTCAGCCTTTTAAAGCAAAGTTGGAAGACTGAATTAGGCTACAGGCTGGATATATTCTGCCAGACATCAGATCTTCCTGTAATGTTCACAGAAAATAAATAAATAAGAGATGTGGCTGGGCAGGTACAACTCTGCATGCTTTAATGCTCAATGAGAGAACAGCATTAGGGCTTTTTTTGGGCAATATTCGTTATATGGTTTGCATCTTTTCACAGTAGCAATCCAGTCTGAGAGAACAGCATTAGGGCTTTTTTTGAGCAATATTCATTATATGGTTTGCATCTTTTCACAGTAGCAATCCAGTCTGAGAGAACAGCATGAGGGCTTTATTTGGGCAATATTCGTTATATGGTTTGCATCTTTTCACAGTACCAATCCAGTCTGAGAGAACAGCATTAGGGCTTTTTTTGAGCAATATTTTTTATATGGTTTGCATCCAGTAAACCATAGCAATACAGTAAATAGTAGCAGTAAATCCAGTCTGGACTGGGTGTTGGAAATCAACACTCTGCCTTCCAGTGTATTAATTTCAATTACTGGCCTTCTCTATTCTCCAAATAGAAGTCAGGTGCTCTCTTACAGAACCATAATTTCTAAAATTCTGTATCCAAGAGAAAAACGCCTGAGCTAAAGCAGTAAGGATCAGCCATGCACAGCTTTCTAAAAGCAAACAGCTGAATCTCCTCCATTTTCATCCGAGTCCTTCCTGCAGAAGAACAATCTCTATTTGCCCAGTATTTCAGAAATGCATAACTCTGTCAGGAATCCTGCCCCTTCCCTTCAACACCATTTTATCTTCATAGACATGGACAGTTCCAAAGGCGTTGCTGTCGGGGGGGGTCTCGATGAGCCCCTCCAGGGTGAGGTGATGGACTCCGTGCAGGTCCTGGCAGTAGGCGCCGTCGTGCAGGTGCCCTGCGAGCACACAGACCACACACCTGTGTCTGTGTATCACTGACAGGGCAGCCTCGTAATTCCAGGCCAGGCAAACCCCATTGGAAGCACACGGATGGATGGGCACGTGAGCTGCAGTCCAGAGGAAAAGAAATAAAGAGAGTTAAACTGCGATAAATCTGCCTCATTGCTGGGAAGTTCTGCCATCCCACTGAGTGTGGCATTCTTATTTTCTGAAAAATTCCTTCGCCCAGGATTTGCTCCTGGGAAGCTGAGAAGCCTCAGAGAAAAAGGAAAACAATAATCATCTCATTTGCTTCTCCTGTGTTTTGCTCCTTTGGAATGTTTTTGGATATTCTTTACCAAAGTGGTTGTTTCATTAGTTTCATCTGAATTGTTTTGACTTATTGGCCAATCAGGGCCAAGCTGTGTCAAAACTCTGGAAGGAGTCCTGAGTTTTCATTATTATCTTTTTAGCCTTCTGTAAGTATCCTTGCTGTATTCTTTAGTATAGTTTAGTTTAGTATTCTTTTATATAATATAACATCATAAAATATAAATTAGCCTTCTGAGAACATGGAGTCAGATTCCTTCCTTCCTCCTGCCACAGGGCACCCTGCAAATACAGTAACTGAGTACAGAAAGCTCACCCCCAGAGCGAGGTGTGGTTGCTGTTCTGCTCTTTCAGGGGTTCCATCTGTACCTCACCAGACCAACTGCATGTTTTCTGCAGCTAACATACACAGGCTAGATAACTTTTTTCCCCTTGTATTTCCATGGGAGTTGTGCTGGTTAGGCATTAATTGATATTTGGCAAGGAAGGAAGAAGCCACCCACAGAAATGAGTGAGAGGAGCTGCTGAGAGCTTCCTCTGTACACCCCCCATCAAATACAGGGGTTGGAACCAGATTAGCTTTAAGCACCCTTCCAACACTAACCATTCTGACTGTCTATTTATCCCCCTCCATATCTACATACCCATAACTATAACTTTTTCTTGGTTTTCATCAGAGAACTTGAGGACTTCATCGAACCAGTCCAGCTGGGCTTGGCTAAATCCTCCATTAAATGCTACAAAATGAGGTTCCTTGAGCCCTGCAATGAAGAAGAAGGTTAGGCACAAATGCATACACACCCCCCATGGTTCCTCTATTTGTCTTATTTAAATCTGCTGATGGTTGGTTTACTCTCAGAACCTTTGGGAATTTTTGCACTTCCTGGATCAGAACTCCATTCCCCTTGCACAAAGAAGATTATTTGTTAGTGTTTTCGGGAGTTTGGGTCACACTACCCAAACAGCATTTCCGCTGTTTGGTTTCCCCCCGGCATGGGGCAGGGTGGGCACAACTCGTTGCTCTGCACCGGCCGCCTCCCCGGTACTGCGGGGCACAGAGCAGGGCACAGCCCCAGCTGTGGGCTACGGGGGAGCATCTCCTGTGCCCGCACTGGCTGCAGGGAATGGGCAGCAACGGGGCACATGCTTGGGAGCCCCTGGCATCCCTCTGTCAGCACCGGCAGCCTCGGACAGCGAAGCTTCGGCCGCCCGCGCCCCTGCCAAGCCGGAGGTACCTTCGGGGCTGTTGAGATCATCGTTGTGGTTCTTCTCCCGCAGCACCCGCAGGGACTCCTGGTAGCGGGGGCTGCCGGGGTCCGTGCCCAGGGTGCTGGCGTCGTAGCTGTCGAGCACGACGAGGCGGAGCCGCGGCGCCGGGCTGCAGTGATACGCGTGGCACTCCCTGTCCGGGGGCCCGTCCGAGCCCCCCGCGGGCCGGCTGTACAGCCCGGTGTGCACCAGCCGCGCCCGGCTGAAGTTGTAGAGCTCGTGGTTGCCCCACGCGTGGTGCACGGGCACCGAGAGCTGCCCCAGCACGTCCAGCACCTGCTGCAAGGCGCTCTCGGCCTCGCCGCGCCGGGCGTTCTGCCCGTCGATGCTATCGCCCAGCTGCAGCACGAAGTTTATCGGCGGGTTCTCGCCGGCCCACTCCCGCACCGCCTCCCGCAGCAAGCGCAGGCTGTGCCGGTAGTAGCGCCGCCGGCAGCCGCCGAAGTCGTGCCCGTCCTCCGCGTCGGCGAACTGGATGTCAGCGATGACCCCGAAGGCGAGGCGCGGCGCAGCCTGCATGGCGGCCTCGGGCGGGCCGGAAGGGGCGGCGCGGCCGCCGGGAACATGGCGGGGGCGGCGGGGCTGTGGCGGCTGCGGGCGGGTGCGGGGCTGTGGCCGCTGCCGGGCCCGGCCGTGCGGGGCTGGGCGGTGCTGCCCGCACCCCGCAGCCGCCCGCTCTCACAGCAGCCGCCGGGCCGCGGGCCGCGGGCGGGCGCGCAGAAGCGGGTGAGTGAGGGAAGGAGGGAAGGAAGGACGGACGGAGGGAGCGCGGGCCGGGCCGCTCCGTGCCCCGGGCAGTCACCAAACTCTTGTCCCCCGCAGCTCGTGTCGTGGAGGTCGCTGGCGGCCACCGTGGTGCTGGGCGGGGGGCTGCTGGCCGGCATGAAGCTGATGAAGCGGCACAAGGAGGAGAGTGAGTGCGGGGTGCGGGAGGAGCGCCGGGCTGTTGGATTGCGCTGTTTGCCTTTTGTCCGTTAAGATCGTGTGGGTAGCTAGGGCGGATTGGACCCGGATTCTTACACCGGGCGTGTCGCGTTTCGTATTCAGATGAAGCGTTTGTCGTGTTTAGGTGATGCTGGTTTGACATTCAGATGTACTTTACCTGCCTGGGCATCGTCACTGTACCGCTTTCCACGCGGCCTCTTCGTGCCTGGGTTTACGGAAGTGCCGCAGAAAAATTTCAAAAATTAAAAGCCATTCAAGGTTCAGCGTTTTAAAGCTGCTAGACTGGAATAGTTGTGCTTGGCCTGCCTGTGTTTACGGAAGTGCCATAGAAAATTTTCAAGAATTAAAAGTAATTAAAAGTTCAGCGTTTTGAAGTTCCTATTTTTGAATAGTTGTGTTTGGCCGCACACTGTGCCAGCCTGTGCAGCACAGGCACGGAGCTGGGTGTTGTGGGCTCACCCATGAGCTTTGTCCTCTCCTGCAGCAACTGCCCACACATTTCCTTTTTATGCATTTACAGTTGAAAACAGGGATATTGCAGCTTTTAGGGTATTGTTCAGTTTTCAATGGATGCTGGTCTCGCTGTTTCACAGCAGGCCAGGGATCTTGTCTTTATTTTTTCCCTTTTTAAACAAAAATACAGTTGGGTAACAATGAAAGATAATGTTTCAAAGGAATTTAGTGATAGATTTGATTTTGTCCAAAAGGAACGCTTTCTGGAAGGCACGTGCACGTTGGGTGTCTGCATGACAGGCGTTGGTGGATCTTGACATGACCCTGAGCAGTGTCTGACTCAGCTTGCTTGGGAAGCATTGTGCCTTGTGGCATGGGTGTGTTTGATTCCCACTTGTGTTTTGTAGAACTGGAGAAGGAAAGAAACCGAGGCATTGGGAAGCCACTGCTGGGAGGGCCCTTCTCCCTCGTCAGCCATGAGGGACAGCCCAGGACCAGCAAGGACTACATTGGCCAGTGGGTGCTGATCTACTTTGGCTTCACTCACTGCCCTGACATCTGTCCTGATGAGCTGGAGAAAATGATTGCAGTGGTAGATGAAATTGGTAAGGGAATTCTGGGTATGGAAGCACAGACGCAGAGAATTGTATCTCATGGCACTTGCTTCCTTCACAAATTACACAAATAAAACTGCACAAAGTGGTCTAGTCACTTGGGGTGGGCTTGGATTGATGTTACATGGCTATGAGTTTGTTTGAAGGAAGATGAGAGATGGTTTTCTAAAATAAATAATAACTGTTAATATCACAGATCGAATTCCATCTTTGCCCAATCTGACCCCACTCTTCATCACCATCGATCCTGAGAGGGACAACCAAGAAGCCATTGCCAGATATGTTAAAGGTATTCCTGCTTTCTTCCTCTGTGTCTCATAGCTTGTAGTGCAGAACACTAAAAAAGGAGCCTCTTGAAGGGATTCTTTTCACCAAAATGTGTAAATGTCTTCTTTCTATCTAGAATTTTCTCCGAAGCTGGTGGGATTGACTGGTAGCAAGGCACAGATTGACCAAGTGGCTAAAGCATACCGTGTGTACTACAGCGAAGGGCCCAAGGATGAGGACAACGATTACATAGTGAGTAAAAGCAGCCTTTGCTTACTCAAAGACTGGATAAGAGCAGCATGTACATTTTAAAACCAGCTATTGGATCTTTACTGAAGTCCCATGTGCAGTGGCATGTTCACCTGTTAGAACCACAATGCCCTCCTACAAGCTCAGCATCTTGCCAAAGTGTGTTCTAAACAAGCCCAAAAATGCAGACAGTAGCACAGGAACTAGCAAGCCTGGCAATGGTTGGATTTCTTTCTGATCTGTAACATATTTGACTGGCTCTTTTCCTATGTGTTCCAAAGCTGCTGTGATTTCTCATTTCTAATGCAGCTGAACTCAGAGCATGGCTGTATTTCAGTCCTGAGCAATCATGGCTTCCAGAGCCAGAACTCTGTGTCTTTGCTGAGAAAGATGTTGTCACGGTTAGGTGCAGACAGCACTTGCAGCGTTATTTAAATAAATTTGCAATGGAGTTGATTTTGATATAAATCCAATTGGAATATCCGGGATGTGCCTGGGTGAGGCTGCTTCAGTGCACCGGCAGGGGGCGCCGCTGGCCCGCATTTCCCACTGCGGGTCCGGATCCCAAGCCCGCATTTCCCTGTATCCCACTGCCGGTTTCAATCCCAAATCCCAATCCCTCATTTCCCTGTATCCCACTGCCGGTCTGGATCCCAAATCCCAATCCCGCATTTCCCTGTATCCCACTGCCGGTCTGGATCCCAATCCCAATCCCGCATTTCCCTGTATCCCACTGCTGGTCCCGATCCCAAATCCCAATCCCGCATTTCCCTGTCTCCCACTGCCGGTCCTGATCCCAAATCCCAATCCCGCATTTCCCTGTATCCCACTGCCAGTCCCCATCCCAATCCCTCATTTCCCTGTATCCCACAGCTGGTCCCGATCCCAAATTCCAATCCTGCATTTCCCTGTAGCCCTGCTCCTGATCCCGCATTTCCCTGTATCCCACTGCCTGTCCCAATCCAATCCTGCATTTCCCTGTATCCCACTGCCTGTCCCAATCCAATCCTGCATTTCCCTGTATCCCACTGCCTGTCCCAATCCAATCCTGCATTTCCCTGTATCCCACTGCCTGTCCCAATCCAATCCTGCATTTCCCTGTATCCCACTGCCTGCCACGCTCCCGATCCCGCATTTCTCTGTGTTCCCACTGCCTGCCCCGATCCCCATCCCTGATTTCCCCTCTGAGCTGGTGCCCTGTGCTGTTGTGCTCTCTGACCACGCTGTGCTCTCCTGCAGGTGGATCACACAATAATCATGTACCTCCTTGGCCCTGATGGTGACTTTGTGGATTACTATGGCCAGAATAAGAAGAGTGCTGAGATTTCCTCTTCTATTGCTGCACACATGAGAAAATACAGATCCTAAAACAGGTGGTTCTCAAAGATTGCTGTGAATGTCACCTGTGGGTTTGGCTGTGATTGGACACTGGAGTTAAAGCAGAAGCACACAAGTGTAACATCCCATCAAGCAGCTCTCCTTTCTTCCAAATAAGAAAGACAATCAAGTTTCTGCAAATTCCCATTACCAAAAATCTCTACAGAGCCTTCCCCATGGATATCATTTCCAACAAGATCTTGGGTACAGAATAAAATTTGGGACTTCTCTGAAACAATGCTGGGAGCAAAGGATGGAAAGCACTTTTCACTTGGGAGGAACGTGTGTGTTGCTGGGAAAATATTGCTGGTAAAAAAACCCTGCTGGTCTGGCAAGGACAACAGTGACTGCAGGAGGATGACTTGATGCAAAGCCATTACTGGATGGGGCCATGGCGTTCTCAGAGGAGCTCTGCCCTCTGGTTTCTCTGCACTGTTTTGCCTTCTAGGAGAGGCAGCTGCACTGTTAGAAGCAGGGGAGCCTTAAGAGTGCTTCTTTATCCAGGTTAAGAAGGTGAAGAGCACTGAAAGCACCAGCTGCTTCCACGCATGGGACCAGCCCTGGAACAAGCCTGATCATTTCATCTGAGGGCAGAAGTGAAATGTATTTTTCTGGTGGTTTTTCTAGGTGAACACTGTTCACTTATAAGGAAAAGAGAATTGGGATGCAAATAGTTTTTTTCTTCTGGTGCAGATGATGGTGTAGTTGCTCTGCTTGTGCTAGGGGAAGTGGGGAGGGTGAAGGGGGGCTGTGTCCATGCACAGGGCTGGCAGTCAGATACATTTTATGCAGTGCAGCATTTGAAAATAAAGATTGATTTGTATAAGAAATTTATCTTTTTGTTTCCTTAGGTTTGACTAGAATGTCATCAGAACTTTGTATACCGGTCAAACTTCATATTCTTGCTCTGCTTTCCTTTTTTGAAAGCAGTATTCATTTCTAGTCATGCACATCAGGAGCTGAATGTGCTTTTTTAAGCTGAACCTCAGAGAAGGGCCCACAGGAGACGAGGCAGAGCAGTTCTTGGTGTGAGTTCCAGAGGCTCTTGGACTGACACAGGTGTTCCTGCAGGTAGCACTGGGGTTCTCCTGGGTGTGGGGGTTGGAAGAGAGCATTCCCATCCAAGGGAAGGTGCAAAGCCTGTGGAAAATTTCTGCCTTTGCAAAATTGTGAGAACAAGTAAACTTCACCTGTTTCAGAGCAGTGACATCTCCTGAATTTTTGCATCTATTGCATACTTGCTCTTTTCCATGGGCTTTACCTTCAGGCCTGTATTTATTTGATCCCTTGTGATTTGTTTGTGCTTGTGGAGTCCTCAGGGCCCATCTCTGCCCCATCTCTTACCAACCTGTGGCTGTGCCCTGCACAACAGACTTTGTCTGCCCTTCTCAAGGTCTCTGCTGTCACATCAGGCCTGTATTTTAAATATTGCAGCAGTGTGCTAGGGCCAAATACCTTTTCTGCACAGAGGACAGTCTGGAAAACCATGATTGTATAAAGCAATGGTAAGTAAAAATAAAACAAATCAGTTAGAAGCACCTGCTCAGAAGAAAGAATTGGTGTTACAGCTGAGCCAAGTTAAAGCAGAATTTGGACAAGGCAAACCTCTGTCCTGAGGCT